AAGAATGAGGTCAAACTGCAGCGTCCAGATGTTCAGGCTGATGGAGACCAACAGGATCAAAGATGGAGCTGCAGACAAAGGTTCATCTACAAATACTGACTGGAAGGGAGTGAATGCAGTCACTTAATCTACATTTTATATTAGTGATTAATTGACATTACTTTGTAGAAATCACTTCTCACTTTGACATTTTTTGTACATTCTTGTCAAAAAAGCCAAACTTTGTTGTTGATCACGATTCAGTGTTGAAAAGGGAGCATGTCAGGAGGTCTGACTGCTGCCTCCTCGATCGTCCACATGAGGCACGTGGCTGCTTATTTCTGTATCCTTTAACCAAAGAGCGGCTTCAGCTGCAACTCAATACTCACGCCGGTAGTGTGTCCTCTGTGGGGATTGCGTCAAGCTTCCTCTGAACGTTTATTTTGGACACCTGTCAGAACTGTGATAAAGGTGAGCGGAGACACAGTGTTGAGCAACGCTGTTTGTTTGCCTCTGCTGTTGTAGATGAGAGTAAGGTGTTTGGAGGGGCCTCTGAGCTGCAGCTGGACTGCATGGTTGAGGAGAGTCGTGGCGGCGCCGCAATGAAGCACGAAGGCCTGCTGTCCCTGACTGACCTCTCCCAGCCGGATGACTTCCCCGTCCCCCCCCACAACGGACCTCCGCTGCCCGAGATGAGCAGCCCTCTGCCGGTGGAGCCCGGCGACATCAAGCTGGATCCAGCTGCAGGAGACACATCTGCCAGCACAGGTGAGACAACAGCAGGGATCCCCCCTTATAAACAGCCTCTGTTTTTGTTTAAAATACCTGTTTTTTGAATATGAACACAAAAACAGTATGCTCAAGGGTAAATAAATTACAACAGGCTACGATTTTTGTCTTCTAAAACTACATATAAAATCCTGAAGAACAAACTTGTGACTGCGACTGAAATGTTCGATAACATGCACAGAGATGCGTCGTTATTGCACCAAGTTATTGCACATTATATATATATAGACGGTATGAAAGTTACACCTTTACTACAACCTTATTGTTCCTGATATTTACATTTCTAACCTAAAACTAATCCAAATCACCATCACCAGGGATCCTTTGCTGACATTATTATATACGTTTTCAAGCTAGCTAGTATAGCATGTTAGCTTATTAGGTTAAATTCTGTTAGTTAGCCTTGCAAACAAATAACACTTTTTTTTTTTTGACTGGTAGTTTTAATTTGTATAACTGTATTAGAGGATTAAAAAAAGGATACTAGCTAAGAATTCAAGCTTGCTAGTGCTACAGCAAGCTAATGTAGCATGTTAGCATAAGTTCAGTTAGTTAGCCTTTAAGACAAATATTTCTCTGTTGTCCGCTAGTTGGCTTTTGTGCTGTTGTATTAGAGGATTAAATAATTTAAATCATCAATCAACAGGGAGGCTTCACTGATACTAGCTAAGAATTTAAGCTAACTAGCTGGTGCTACAGCTACAGCTAATATAGCAAAACGTCATTAGTTTGCCTTTTAGGCTGAGTTATATATTTTTTGCAGCTAGTTAGCTTTTGTGTTAATGTATTAGATGATTAAATAAGCTGAGCTGATGCTAACAAAGAATTTGTCACTTTTCCTGTAAACTAATGGATTTCCCTCCATATGTGTGCATATCTCAAAATGAGACTTCAGTAAAACTCAAAACCACTTCTCTTGACTTCTTACTGAATTACTACTTACTTTTTTCAATTATCTTTTTAAAAAAAAAAACTGAATTAAATGCAGAATATTTAAAGGAAACAGAGGTTAATGCATCATCGCCTCCTCAGAGGGAGTCTGCAGTGTCTGTGTCTTTATCTACCGCCAGCATCAGTCGCTGCTGAGAGACAACAGGACATGCGTGTCGTCATTGTGAGAAGAAAACAGCAGCGTGGCTGAATATCCGTCCAGCCGGTTGAAGCTGTGTTTGCGTTACAACTTCCACAGACCAGACGAACCAGTATTTTCTTTCTGCTGGTTCCATCTTCAGCTCAGACGTGTCTGTTCCACAGTTTAGCTGCTGTCAACGACGTGAATTTCTCCACTGTGAGATAAATAAAGGCATATCTTATCTTATCTTATCTTATCTTTAACCTTTTTATCATTTTCATGACATGAGGAGAACAGGTGGATGTTGTTGGTTATAGATTTGGTTTTAACTTTTTCTTTCTTTCGAGGAAAAACGAATGAAAGAAATAAAATTGCTTTAGTTTTTCCTCTTCACTTCCTGTTTTTCTCTATGCACTCTTAAAGTAAAAAAATTGAGTGCAGGACTTTTTTTCTGGCAGTGTTTTTTAGTGTCAATAAAACAGCATTTCTGCAGCCAGAACCAACAATTATTAAGCTGAAGTGTGAAGAATAAAGCAGCGTAGAGTTCGTCTGCAGCCTCTGAATGCTAAAATCCTCCCTGATGTGAACACGATGCAACCAAAACCGTGAATTTCCAAACAACAATTCAAATTAAATTTAAGAAAACACCCACAGCTCATAGTTTCCTTTAACTGTCTGAACTCCAGCAGTTTATGGGTGTTTTTTTTTTTCTCCTGTCACATTTTTGCTCACTGTGGGTTCATTTTTAACTGCAATATAAAGTCCTGCACCTCTATGGAAGCAGAACAACACGAGGAAGGAGAGAGAACTCACAGCTGATCCAGTAATAAACAACAATTCTGATGAAAAATCCAGATTTTGATGCTAAGATTTGTTTTAGGACCATCGGAGAGTTGAAAGTCTGACAATTCTTTCTGTTTTTATAGTTTCTTGCTCAGATAAATGGTGTCATTTTATCAAGTTATTAAAAAAACATGAACACGCCTTCCAAACCCTGTGTTAACGAGGTTCATCATCTCTGTTTGTAGACGGTCAGCCGGTGAAGAGAAAGAAGGGCCCCGCTCCCAAGATGCTGGGCAACGAGGTGTGCAGCGTTTGCGGCGACAAGGCCTCCGGTTTCCACTACAACGTGCTGAGCTGCGAAGGCTGCAAGGGCTTCTTCCGGCGCAGCGTCATCAAGAGCGCCCAGTACTCCTGCAAGAACAACGGCCGCTGCGAAATGGACATGTACATGCGCCGCAAGTGCCAGCAGTGCCGCCTGCGCAAGTGTCGGGAGGCCGGCATGCTGGAGCAGTGTGAGTGTCGCCAGATGAATCAGAGGATGGAGAAAATTTAGATCTCGCCGCACGCTGGCATATTGGTTTGCAGCCAGAGTGAAAGTCGTGAGGATGGAAAAAAAAAAAGACTTATTTCATCTGAAATCATCAGCGGCCTTCTGCTCAACCGGCTCAGATTCGCTTGAAACTTTTTTTTTTCATAAGCTGTGGATGTTTGAAGTTGTATCTGTGACATTTTAGATCGATATATGAAACACTTTCTGGGATTATTTGTAAAATATAATCCTTGAATCAGTTTCAACCTCAATATTTTAGTTTTTTTGGTTGTGAAAGCTCAACAAAAATCGCTTTCTTTTCGTTTTTGTGGCAGTATTTCACATTAAAAACTCTTTTATACGTTTAGTTTTGTTTGAAAGTGACACAGAGCAGCATGTGTTTCAGAAAATATCACAAGTTGACTTGTGCATTATCAGTGTTTTTATTAATACGAATATTAAAAAGATAGCTTGGATTTTCTTATATAATTCAACTCACCTCTAATCAGAGAGGTTTTGATCCACTGGTCCAATATTGCAGATTCTAAATCAATAACATGATGAGAAATAACAGAGAACATTTCAGGTTTTTATCAGATGCTGATGTTCCAACAACCTCAAATTTTAATGTGCAAAAAATGTGAAAATGGGTCAACAGGGATTTTAAAATAAAATAAAACGTGTGAAATATTTTATATGTCAAGCTGAAATTTCATCTGTTTTTATGCTCTAATATTTTAGATCAGACATGGTGGAGCAGAAATAGTTTTAAAAAAAATGTTTGATAGAAAAGAGAAAAATAATGTTTTGGACCATTAAAGCATGTAAACGTCTTCTCACAGACAACTACAAATAATATTCTAAAGCTCCTGATGTCCAAAGTATTTGAACAGCCAGCTGGACTCTGTCAGCCGCTTCATTGACCAAACTGAGCTGAACTAACTCACTAATAAGTCCTGAGATGTTGACAAAACAAGTGGGTCGACTCACAACCTGTAAGATCTCTGACAAGCTGAATCGCTCAAATACTTTTATAATTCTTTATATTTTATGCCGTGCAAATTTCAAGCAAACCAGGAGCGACTGAGCAGAACCTCAAGATAGAAAAACCAGAAACGCGTGTTGATCTTTTTCTGCCTGAGACGTGGTGAACATGTGCATCCTCTTTGCCCTGCAGGTGTCCTCTCTGAGGAGCAAATCCGGCTGAAAAAGCTGAAGAAGCAGCAGGAGGAGGAAACGGCTCGTACGTCCGCCGTGGTCACGCCCACGCCTCCGCCGGAAACCGCCACGCTGGACCCGCAGCAGCAGGAGATGATCGAGAAGCTGGTGGCCATGCAGAAGCAATGCAACAAGAGGTCCTTCCTGGACCGACCCAAAGTGACGGTAAAGGAGCTGCTGTGGAGAGAAACTCTACTTAGTCTCAGAGGTGACACCATTTGTTCTGAAATGTTTTCCTCCCAGCTGACTTGACGTCTGTCTCTTTCTTACAGCCGTGGCCGCAGAGTCAGGACTTGCAGAACCGAGAAGTGCGTCAGCAGCGGTTCGCCCACTTCACTGAGCTGGCAATCATGTCAGTCCAAGAGATTGTGGATTTTGCTAAGCAGCTTCCAGGTTTCCTCGAACTCACAAGAGAAGATCAGATTGCTCTGCTGAAGACGTCCACCATCGAGGTCGGTGACCTTTCAGCAGATGTTGTTCGTTTGGTGTTAACCCCCTGAAGCCCAAGCAGCTTCTGGGAAGCACTTTGTTTTTGTTTATTTGTTTTGCAGGAACTGTTCCTTTACTGCAAACAAACAAAACAAACAGCACTGACAGATGGGGTGTAGCAGTGATCATCACACTGGTCTACCTGCTCAGATGAAACCAAACGCTGCAGCAGGAGCTTTTATCAAACATGAAGTCTTTAGAAAGTTGTTTTTTCATTTGACTCTCTGAAGCCAAACTAGTTTCTGAGCTTTTTTTTGGTCACAGTTTTCTTCACTGTGGCTCATTTTTAATCTACATTATGAAGTCCTGCAGCTCTGTGGAAGCAGAACAACGCCGAGGACGGAGAGAGAGATCAAAAAGCATTTATAGAAATAATTAAAAAGAAAAAAAATAATGTTGAGTTTCTTTTGTATTGATGATGATTTTACAAAAAGTGTAAAAACTTGGATGCAGCATGTGGAGCATGTTTCCACTGTGTTAAGGTGTGAACACAACTGGAGCCCATAATGGCTCCATGTTGTTGATATTCACTATTTATCATCTGCTCTGTGTTGAGCTGAAGCTCCCTGATTTTTTATGACGTTGGTCACGGCTGAGTCACGAGAGGCTTTCTGCTTGCACCAAGTAGTGCAGAAGTTTTAGTTTTTTACAGAATATGTTTAAAGTAAAAGGTTTATTTTTGGTAAATTTGTGTGACTTTGATGAAATACTTTGATTTAAAGCTTCGATTTGTTTGCTGACTGAGTGTCATGAGTAGTTCAAGACTATCAGAAACTTCAACATCTGACAGTTCTTACTGTTTTCACCATTTCCAGCTCTGATAAATGGTCTCATTTTAGGTTTTATTTTTTAAAAACATGTCTTTTCGTCCTGCTGGCAGGTTTTAGGGTTCAGAGGATTCAAACGACCACTTCTTTAAAAACCAACTTATGTGCAGGAGTTTTATAACAAGCGTTTTATTTTATTTTACTTTACGGGAGCAGCTTCACTTCTTTTGTGCACGATACACAACATGAGGTAGTGATTTACTAAGAAGCTGTAAAAACTTGGGTTTCACGTCACCATCAGTCTCTCTGACTCTGTTTTAATGTTCCTCTCACATCGTCGGGTTCGTCTTCCTCAGATCATGCTGCTGGAGACGTCCCGGCGGTACAACCCCGCCATCGACAGCATCACATTTCTGAAGGACTTCAGCTACAACAAGGAGGACTTCGCCAAAGCAGGTGGGTTTGTTTGTCTCCTCCTGATGTTTACTGTGAACATCAGGTTTCACTTCATGGGGCTGAGATCCGTCTGTCGTGAAGCCTAACCGAGTCGTACGTGTTTTGTCATTGAAAAGTTGTTTTACTTAATGTGAATGTCTTTTATTTCTCACCTACGCACGCCAGAGCCTCCATAATACTCACAATCAAATATTAAACACACTGTATGCTCGTTCCCAGTAAACCCCGGAGCTCTCACTGTGTTATTGCACCATCTTTCCTTCTCTCACATTTTGTTTCCTCCTCTCAACTCCTCAGGGCTCCAGTTTGAGTTCATTAACCCCATCTTCGAGTTTTCAAAAGGAATGAACGACCTGCACCTGGATGAGGCCGAATACGCTCTGCTCATCGCCATCAACATCTTCTCTGCAGGTCAGAGTTCAGCGGCTACACAGCCTGCAGTTCATCCTCAGTGCGCTGGGCTCAGAGGGGGAAGGCACTCAGTGATAATAAGGCTTCACCTTTTAACTGAAATCAAAATCCCCCAAAAAGGGTTTGAGGGGCAAGTTTACTTTTACAGTTTATCACATCCAGAAAATGTTGGATTTCCAAGTTTCTAATCGATTCATGATGCGTGACTTTAGGTTTTATTAGAAAAAAATTTACCAAATCTAAGCCTACAATTGTTATATTTCATCAAAATGCATTTATTCTACATGTCTCATTTAGAAAAAGAATTAAACATCAACCATTTGCTGCAACCAGAGTCTGTAAAAAAATGAATAAATAAGAATCCTGCCCTCTCAGACTGACTGAGCTGCAATAAACAGCCATGTGATTAGACATTCAGGGATTTGTCAGGCGGGCGTTGTTTACACCGAGCAGAGTGGAGGCAATTACAGAAGCAAATTAAAAATGTAATTAGTAAAACGTCTCCAACATGTGGAGCCAACAAGTTCTGGGTAACACCTGTTTTCAAGTTGACTTTAGATTTTTCCATTTTTTGTAAAATCCAAAATAAATTCACATTTTTTTCTCTTGGTTTGTTATTTATGCCACTGCAGCTGTGTGATGCTGCACCAGACACGTTGTGTCTCCGTCTTCATGGTTGTTGTGTTTCCATAGAGCTGCAGGACTTTGTGTAGAATGAGCCCACAGCGAGGAAAAAAATAAAACACAAAAATAAAAAAGCCCAGAAACAGCTTGGAGTTCAGATGGTCCACTGACAAATGGACAATTTCACATTTGACATCTTTAACCAAAATAAATCTGCAGTTACGAGACATTAAACTGTTTGTTTTGTTTGAAGATCGGCCCAATGTGCAGGACCACGACCTGGTGGAGCGGCTGCAGCAGCCCTACGTGGACGCCCTGCGCTCCTACATCATGATAAAGAGACCAAATGTAAGAACCCGCCGCTTTTACCCAACTGCTCCTCACGACGGCCGAGGTGACGGCGTGTTGTCGAGGCTGCTGGGGGGCAGGTGTGAGCCGGGAGAGGCCGTTTGGACAAACTGATGCAGAGACTGAATTCAAACCACCTCTGCTGCTTTTTACATCATCTGACAGCAGCTGGAACATTACCGTAATGTCTAGACTATTGAGGCACCTGAATATAAGCTGCACCCACTAAGTTTAAAAGGAAAACTAGTTTTGTACATATACAGGCTGCACTGGTCCACGTTGTAACATGAGATGTTTACACAGAAAGATTTGTTAAGCTTAATTAAATCCATAAATTAGCCGCATCATTGTTTAAGCCGCAGTGTTCAAAGCATGTGGGAAAACGTAGCGACTTATAGTCTGGACATTACGGTAAGTCTTTTCTTTGTGGAGGTCAGGTTGCAGTGTTGCGCCATCGTCTCGGATTTTGTTCTGAATTTTCTCGTGTGTTGTTTTGTTGGGACCCAGATCTACGTTCTTTGTGATATTTTGGCAGAATTTTGAGGATTTTACTGTTTTCAGACCTGGAAGTTTCCACAAAAAACACGTCTTAGCTGTGAAGCTATTTTATTGGTTTAAAAACAAAACTTCCACAGACATGAAATCTGTTGAACTCAGACAGAATCGCTTCCAGCAGATCCAAGTGGTTAAAGGACTCCAGCAGAGGCCATGTTTTTAATTTCTGGCCCTTTAAAATTTGAAAAAAAGCACAAAATTTCCAAACAAATGTGTCATGTCTCCATAAAGCTCCTGTCAGTGTCTGTCTATGGATGGATCCATGGTTCTACTAGAATCCAGTCTTTGGTCACATCAGCTGTTGAGGCTCTAACATCAGGAGGGTTTCATATATGGAAAGTTTTTTTGACTACATGTTGATGTGGACTCATTGGTAGGAAACAAAAGCTGCTTGACCAAAGACTGTATTTGAGTAGAAACATGGATCCATAGATAGACACTGACGGGAACTTTCTGGGGACACAAAATTAAAAATTCAGCACTTTCTTTCATTTTCAAGTGCCAATAATTCTTCATCATTGTGAGTCATTCTGGACAGGCACTCTGGACAGCGTTGTTTGTGTTTTGGACAAAATTGTGATTATTTTGGATGAGTTTGAGTCATTCTGCTTCCACTTTGGGTGGTTTTGGACCAGTTTCAAGTAAAAATATCTAAAATCTGGAGCCTTGTCTGGCCAAACTTCACAAAAACAAGGTCCAACGAAGGTAAAACCCCAAAAAGGGGGTAAAAGGGAACAAAAAACGGGATCCAAGAAAAACAAGGAACCAACCAAAAAAAAAAAACCAAAAGAAACTTCCAAAGCCAAAAAAAACGTTAAAAATTTTGCAATTTCCTCCATAATTAAGGGCCGATGATTAAACACGTGTCCTCTGCTGGGTCCATGGAAACTCTTCTGTCTGTGTTTCCACCACATGTCATGACTCTGGGAGTTTTATTTCTGGAGATACTGAACCCTTAAAATCGCTTCACAGGGAAGATGTTGACAAAACCTCCCAGGTCTCAGCCAGTCTATTCAACAGAACCTGGATTTGGGGCCCAAATGGCAAATAAGTGAAGTCGATGCAGCAGCAACGTATTTCCTGATTTCCATCTGATTTGGGTTCAAAGTGTTTGTTTCTTGCCTCCTCAGGATCACTTAATGTTCCCTCGTATGCTGATGAAGCTGGTGAGCCTCCGTACACTAAGTAGCGTCCACTCGGAGCAGGTTTTCGCCCTTCGCCTCCAGGACAAGAAGCTTCCCCCGCTGCTGTCCGAAATCTGGGACGTCAACGAGTGACGTCACACTCCGAGAGACGGACTCGCATCCGGTGGCGGCGCCGAATCCTCTGGCCAGGGATCGGCTGCAGCGTAGAGATTCCCCTCCTCCTCCTTCAGCTTCTTCCCGTCGGAGGAACAGACTGCTTTACCGGCTTCACGTTCACGCGGAGAGACGCTTCTTTGAATCTTTTTCCCTTCAGTGTAGATGCTGACATGATTGTGGCAAGTACCAGCATCCGGCTCTCCGGCCCGTTTCTCTCTGATTCTGTCGAAAGTTCTGTCAATCTCTAGTGCGGTTTGTGCTCTTTAACACTTATAATCAGGAAGCACTCGGTCGCACGTTGGGCGACCAGACGGGAGCGGAATCCGCCGTCGGCTTCCCTGACGTTAGCTTAAAACTGTAGATCATCTGGTCGTGATGTGGCAACAAAATAGTTCCAGAAACGGTCGGCGTAGTCGCTCAGGTAACGTAATGTGAAGTCAGAGCTCTGGGGCACCGGATGCTTCTGTCGTTTCTCTTAGATCGCTTCAGTTCGCTTCCAGACCGTCGTTTTTTTGGTCATTTCTAGACGCCCATTAGCTTTGGTTGTAAATTGTGTATTTATTTTCACGCGGGAAAATGTATAGAGCGCACACACACACACACACACACGAGACTGTACAATCACACACTAACGCACAAGCGGCCCAAACTCACAGGATCACATCCGGTCTCACGCAGGTACCGTAAAGCAGGAGGCGCCACCGGAAAACCAAACCACAATCTGTTCACATGAGTGAAGCCTCATTCTGACGAATCGGAAACAGAACTATTCACGCCGCAGTCGTACTTTTACTCATTTGTTTGCGAAGCAGTAAAACTTTCTTTGTTTTTTTTTTTGTTGTTTTTTTTTAAATCTGTGATCCGTCACTAGCGTTTAAATGTGTGAGAAAAATGCAAATGCAGAATAGTTTGAAGCAGGTTATAGAGAATTTCGCAACGTTTTATTTTTGATAACACGCCGTACGAACGATACGGAGGATTAAAAAAAAAAAGAAAATCTAGTTAGAAAACTAACTAAAGGTCTATTCTAGTCCCGAGTATCTTCCTTTAACAGGTGCTCGACATCAACAGCTTTAACTGGTCGGATTTTGGGGGAATAAGAACCAAAATCGCCGCTAACGGGGAGCAGAGAACAACGGTAGATGACTGAAGACTGTCCACTCACGGTCGTTCATTCTCTGCTCCTGTCGGGCTGAAAACTGGACGTTCACCTCATTCCACAACCCGACACGGTTTCATCCATTTCAGCTTCGGACTGCTGCTTTATTGTTCAAGCTTCTTCTGTTGTTCAGCGTCTCTCGTGTACGTTTCTGTGGGTTTTGATTAATAAAACTGCATTCAAGAGTTCAACATGTTACAGCTAAAATGGGACGTCGGTTCTGGTGGAGCGCATTTCAGACTGAGTTTAAATTTGAGTTTTTTGGGGGGTTTTTTTGTAATTTTTGGAAAGTTTTAAGTAAACTGGACCTTGTCTTTTTTTTTTTTAAACCCAACTGTCTAAACCAACATTTCTGTTTCATAAGGTTTCTGTTGAATCGCCTGTTTTGGTTTTCCCACAATGTTGAATAAATCCAAGTTTGCAACATAAAAGAAAACTAATTTACTGTTTTAGATCAACTATTTCAGGTGTAAACATTAATTTAAAGGGTAATAATATTGCATCAACTTAATGTTTTGCACAATTTAAACTAACTTACTTGATTTAAAACTAAATTGAAGTTGCAGTAACTTCATGAAATTGACTTTTTCTCCACCTTGACTTTGTTCATCTTTACATGCCAGGAAAGAAAACAGCCTTTAATTAAAGAGGAAAAGCTGATTTTTCCTCAATGTAATGTAGTTTGTTGGTTGAACTTAATTTAAAGTTGTCTTAACTCGATACGATCGACGCCCACACTTTATTTTTTAAAGCACAGATGGTCAGATTTTGTTTTTTCACTGAAGAAAAGGCACAAAAAACAACTGGTGATGTCGTTATGTCCATTTTGTGCTTTTCTGACTGTGTTAAAATGTCAGAAAATTCCAGTTCTCACTCATAAAACTCCAAAAAGGGGAAAAAATCACAACTTGGTGGATGAACCGCCTACTTTTTATTTGACATTCAGTTATTTTATGATAAATAAAATAGATTTTTGTGTGTTGTTAGGCTGATTAAATGATCTAAGGATGCATCTAAAGAGTTCAAAACACACTGAGATTAAAAACTGGATGTTTTTCTTGCACAGAAACCGTTTTCCTTCCTTTTTTTATGTCCTTCCACTCAAAGCAAAGTGCGGTTACACGAGACAACACAAGCCCATTTTATAGCTGCGTTATGTTGATACTTGAAACTGAATAAACTGATTTCTTTTCTTTTTTTAAATCCAGCACATAAAGACGCTGCTTCTTCTGACCACGTATTGTATCGAACCTTTTGCCTTCCTGCTTAAAAACAAATCTGATTTATTACCGCTTGTAGCACATTGTTCTTCTGATTTTCTGACATGCTCATCACCCTTCAGCGACGTATTTAACGGTTCTATTTGAGTGTGAAACTATACCACTGAGTTGTTGTTTTTTTAAATCAGTTTTCTCTGCAGAAACTTTCTTTCGGGTCCCGTTGCAATGAAACGAGATGTGAGGTTTTAAGTTGTTTTTTTCTTTTGGTTTGATGCTTGTTGGGAATCTGTTCATAAAAATAAACTTCCGTAACACTGCAGTGAGTTTTGCAGCCGGTCGAATCAGCTGACGGAGGAAGTTTTTAATGAAATCACGGCGCCGCTCTCTAATCGAATCGAAAGACGACATCCGCTGTCGGCTCTGAAAGTTTTCTTCTGTGTACATGTTCTGTTAACGCTGTAGGTATTAACTGTACTGTATATACTGTTAATTGTCATCTCTGATCTCGTTTAATTCCCGTCTTCAAGCGGTGACACTGTAAACATTATTGATATATAGAAATGCAAACCTATTTTAATACTTGTAACTCCTGGAGAACCTTCTGTTTTGTATGTACAGTATGAATTAAAGCTCTGCTGTAGTGCTGACGCGTCCCGATTCACTCGTTTGTCGGTCGGGTTTCGAGTTTTGGACTTTATTCAGTGGAGAGAGAAACATCTTTCCTCAGAGCTGTGATAAATGATGGAATCTGGGGGGTTTAAATCACTTAAAAACAAGCGACTTTGCTGTAAGATCTAAAAACAAATGATGTGATAAACATGTTGGTGTTTTATATTTACTGTGTTCATCTTTAAATTGAACATTTAACAACAGAATATTTGCTTCTCCTTTTTGTATTACATGCTGACACATCTTGTTATCTGGCATCAGTTTAAAAAACTAAAAAAGTATTACATGCTGACACATCTTGTTATCTGGCATCAGTTTAAAAAACTAAAAAAATATAATTAACATATGAAATAGTCTGACTGAAGCTAACTGGCCTTGGTTAGCAGGTTTAGCTTAGCATCGCAGCTACAGTGTTTGAAGCTACATGACGAAAACTAATAAATGTTTTCAGTTTTCTTTTAAGTTTTTGAGGTATGCACTCGGTACTCGTGTAAAATCTGTCAAGGACAACATTTGTCCGTTAGTGATTATGTATTTGGTCAAAATTCATCTGAATCTGACTTCTTGAGCGTCTCATTTGACTTCACACAGAAACGTCTTTAATGTCACAACATCTAGAAAACAGATAAAAACTCAATTAATTTACCCGCTTTTTAAAATATAAAAACTACATCATGAAATAAAAATGTACAGATATAAGGACAATCCTTAGAGACAACGTTGTCTTTTTTGTCAGGTATTTGTGATGGAAGAAAAAAATATGTTTGATTTTTGGATTTATAAAATATTTGAGAATTGTGACACAGTTTGTATTTTTTTTCCTGTAAATTTGTGGTTTTCATAGAAAAGTCAGTACAAATATCTAATTTTTCCACATTTTTTTTTAATCCTTTAGTAATTTGATCAGGTTTTGTTTGTCTCTGTCAGCTAATAAAACACCACAAACTACTACAGATTAATTATTTAGTGATGTTCGACCCTTAAACACTAGTTGGATTGATTATTCAGTGAACTACTCGACCACAGACACGATCCACAGAACCAACATTCAGTCCTTTATTGTTGTTTTAAGGATTTGTGGTGTAAAAAAAAAAAGGAGCTGATAGAAAATTAGAGCACCTCATATGTTTAATGATGGGATTTATAAAATATTTGAAGATCATCGTGACAGATTTTCTTTCTTCACTAAATTTGTGGCTTCAAAGTGAGACAGTATTGATCCCCAGCGGGTGTTAATAATTGATCCGTTTGATCAGATTCTACCTGTGTGGCCCTGACAGGTGATAAAACACCTTAAAGGGAGGGTGTTTATGTATTGAAGCTGTCTGTATGCGGAACTCCTGCTGCTGAGGCTGATGATGATGATGATGAGGAGGAGGAGGAGGAGGATGTTGTGAAGGCAGGTTGGAGCTGACCGACACTCGCTCATCGAGCTCCGGGGCGGACTCTCTCTGCTCACCTGCAGCGCCGGGATCCGAGTCGCACGGAGCGGGCAGCCTCCCCCCCGATGGTTGACCGCAACCTGCGCGGAATAAGGGCTGAATTCGGGCGAACGTGTGCGCCGCCGTGACCGCGGAGGGACAGCCAGCACCCAGGCCGCCCTCAGCAGCTGGCTCCGCGGCGACCGTTAGCTGCTAGCCGGCTAACGTGAGCAGGTGAGGACGCTGCTTCGCGGCCTGTTTGAACACATCCGGCGGGGTGGCTTTCCGGCGCTCTGAGATGTTTTCCTGATGTGCGTGTGTGTGTGTTTAAAAAAATATATTTGACCGTTTGTATTTTTTTTATTTAGGAGATAAATGAGTAAAATTAGCAGCTAGGTGGCTACTTAGCCTGCTAGCTAATCCAGCAGTGACGTAGGAAAGCAGGCAGCTAACAGGGAGGCTGGAGGATGCTTCGGGTGTGTGGACACCCAGGAGCTGAATAAACCCTCTAAAACCTGCCAAAAATATAGAAATAATCAGCTTAACATCAGAATGTACTGATTTAAAACCCACTGTTGTCGTGAACGTCCTCTTTCTGTCAGCTAACGTCGCTAGCTGCAGCTAATCAGCACAGCTAGCTTGTTAGATCTGGTTAAAATCCCACCACGACCAGCCCGTTGGTGTTGGACGTGTTCCCGGTGGGCGACACCGAAGGCAGGTTTGCTGATGAAATCCTGACCCAGGAACACCTCAGCGGTCATCCCGCCCACTGAGCATCGGTGTGCGGTTGTGTTTTCTTACACAACATCCAGGAAACAGGAGGAAAGAGGCAACGTGTAGCTGGATGGAGCTGATGAGGGCAGCAGGTGATCCATCATCTCCTCACTTGGACCGTGACCTTGACGTTGGGTTGGAGCTGAGGAGGCTGTAATGACAGTGACGTTACACAGAGAGTATAAAATAGATCATAAAGTAGATGTCCAAGCATCCAGCAGCTTAAAACAGAGACATAAAAACCTCATATAGAGTCAGTGTGTGATGCAGCTTAATGCAGGGAGCTGATGTTTCCTGATCTTCTCTCCGGATCAATAACTCTCCAATTATGTAGTTCTATAAAATGATCCTGTAATGGCATTTAATTTTGTGTCTTTATGCAGTTGAAGTGTTGGCTGATGGGTTTTCTTTTAATGGCAGATACTGATTATTATTGTTAATCAATCAGGCTGATAACTGATATTTGGAGCCGATTTCAGCAGTTAAAAAAAACAAGTTGTGTGTCTGTGCCTTAAGAAAAAAACCTTCTTTATGTCTTCTTTTGGACCAGTGGAGAGAAAACATGATAAACCCAGTTTTCTGTGTTCGTTCTTCTACATTTTCCCTGTTAGACGTTTATGCAAATTATCATGTATTTAGTGACATAACGTTATAAACCAAGCAGGCCGATAGCCGACATCTGGAGCTGAGTTTTGCAGTGAAATTGGAAATCTTCTTGTCAAAATTTAGCAAAGTGCAAACTCCGACACCACGCCTCCCTTTGATTGAGTGTTTATCCTTCAGTGCTGATGTCGGTTATTAATCACAAGCGATCAGATAATTCTGTGCACGAGACGCTGCTTGTGATCACAGAATGGGAACAAAGAAAGAAGCAGCTTCGTCAGAGCTTTTTTTAATTTAATTGATCAGAAACTGGGTAAAAAAAAATGCTGAATAATGGATCTGATAATCAGTTTATTCCTCATATTATGATTAAAGTCCCTCTAAACATTGACTGAACCCCTAAAATCTCATCTCTGTAGATCAAAGTTTCATATTTAGAAGCTTTTTCCACATGAAAATAAGCCAGTCGTGCCTGAAAGTACCTTCGATGCTCGTCTACATTGTTGTATTATCTGGAGGTTCCTGCCTTTTTAGCTCGAGCACACCAGCTCACCGCTGACTAAACACTGTGAAGCTCTTCTACACGACACAGTAGGAAGCTGTACTATTGGACTGATCCATCCACACGTGTTTGGATCGATTCTGTGGTGGAATAGTGACACAGGAAGCTCCACCCTGCAAACGGACCGGATTGGTTCCTTATTTCTTCTTATGTAAGAAACTCTGAATCTGAGTTTTTGTCGTCAGCACGCTGCAGTTTCAAGGTTTGGAAATGTTCAGCCACAGTATCGACTGCTTGTTTCACTCATTTTGTGCCCTCCAGCAGTTAAAACAGCACCATGTGAACGTGTTAACGAGCTCGTTAAGACATCGTGGTGAACCGGAAGTTCTGCATCTCTGCCTCTTTTACGTTGGCTGATGTTCTGGTTGGTGGTTTTTGTCATTGAGGATTTTTTGTGACTGTGCGATCAGTCGCTGGTTGTAGTTTTGGATCCAGTAGCTGATCAGACGGCATGTGGACAAGGTGTAAACTAGATTTTTACTGGTCTTTTAATCAAGTCAAATATATGACAGAGATCTGTTTCAGGACTAACTTCTCATAAATCGTAGGTGTCGTAGACGAGCCACAGATTTATGACTTAACCCCGAGATAATATCAGCTGTATTGATTATGAAGTAAAAATGGATTTAGATGTCAAAGCGTTGGCGTGAAATATATGAAAACAGCTCAACGAAACAATCACAAACCTGTCGTCAGTCTCCCAGCTGCAGGATCAGAAGATGCAGGTGGAAACGATGGAACCAAACAGACGTGCCATCATTATGTCATATAAAGAAATGCTTCGTTTTGAAGTGACAGATGTAAACCTGCAGGATGTGAAGCACATGTTGAACACATGCACTTCTTTTCTTGTTGACAAACAGACAAACAGGACAGTAAATGTGGATTTTAGGACACACATGTTGGGGTCTGTGCAGCTTTTAGGAGTTTTCTGCTGATCAATGTTAAAGCAGACGACAGCAGAGCTCCGTCGGCCTTGAGAGGTTCAGGAAATCATTCGGTGTTAACCAGCTTTATTGACGGCGACCAAAACCCGTCGATATCAGCTCAGCCGAGCAGCGTCGTACCTCGACAAGAGGCTCTGGCCTGCACGCTGACTTGAACTCGTCGGCCTCCGTTGTCGAGGTTCTGCTGTGACTGGCACCGAACGCCGTCCACGTTGGAGGCCTGTGAATCACTTCTGTCTCCTCTCTGAGCTTATATAACCACCGACTGCTGCTGAGGAGCTTCATCTGCTGCGTTAGCCTCCGTCGTCGTCGTTTTCAGAGACAGGATGGAGGCTCGGTACCGGTTTCAGCCATTAGAGACCATCAGCGGAGTGGCGGCGTCCCTCCATCCTCGTCTAAAAATAATGCTGTGGTCCAGAGTCCGGCTCCAGAGCTGCTGCTTCATAAAACTGCCATTTTGGCTGCGAACCAGGAAGCGTCGACGCTGCCAGACCGGCCTGTGGATTCATTGTCCTGATGGTTTTCTGAGATAGACACGGTTGGATGTGTCGTGTGTCCGCCCTCGCTGCTGGAATATTTCATCTTATTTCCTCTGTGTGACTAATAATGATAATAATAATAATAACTGGAGTCATGGAGCAGCTTTTACTAACGTTATTTAGAGAAGATGCTTTGATTTGGTTGATCTTCTGTGTCTCAAGGACTGTGAGAAGGTTGAAACTATTAATAATAATTTTATTTCTACACACCTATTTTCTTTAAAGCGAGTGCCTAAAAAACAGGACGACAATTTAACGATATTACAATAAATTTCAGTCATGGGAGTGTTGGTCGGCGCTGAATCATTACCGGCATCACAGAATTCTTTTTGTTATTAACAGAATCTAGTGAATGAAAACGGTTTATTTTCTGGCAGATCTTTAAATGAGACACACAGAATAATGTGATTTAGATGAAATGTCATGATTCTAAACATAATGCGCTTTGACAGACCGGCTGAAAACGAGGTTAATGATAAAAAGACGTGACTATATTATTAGTTTTTGTCAAGTGACTGTCGGTCACAGCTGAGTCATTAACGGCGTCGTGGTCGTGCAGAGGAGGGCAGGATGGTTTGAGTTTTTTATAGACGTGATTTAGATAAAATGTCATGATTCTGACCTTAGAGTTTTTGGTTTTTTTTTCACATATGATTGTATAAATGATGCCCGACAGCTGTAGATAATAATAATATTAATGATTTTATTTATACAGCACCAGCAACAGAGATTACTGAGTGCTTTGACAGAGAGACAAACACAAATAAAATTAAATAAAGGCGGAAAAAAAAGTGGGAAAATAGAGTTAAACATAGCGAAGACACAAAATGCTTAATTCTACTGTCGATATATCAATACGACAAACTCCAGTTGACATAAATAGGCTACGAGAAGCACCAGAAATGTCGTTGCACATGAAAGAATAAAAGAAAAATGTGAATTAAATGATAAAAACAAGAGTAAGATGGTAAAAATGGACAATAGAAGAGACAACGTCACATAAAATCAAGTCTATAAAATGAGTTTTAAGCAGTGATTTGTATGAAATCCTGATTCTGCAGCCTGATCTCCTCACATGAAGCCGAGGGGTCCACCTTTAGCTTTAAGCCTCGAGGCCCTGATGAGCTGTAAACGTGATCAACTGAATCTTAGAATCAGTTCTAATGTGAACAGGGAGCCACTTCACGCTGTCGCCTCGCTTCAACTTGCTCTAATAGTTTGAATGTTTAAAAAAAAAATCCGGTTTAAGATGTTTGACACGAGGATATTCGTTCTCACCGGAGCGGATCTTCTTCTTAGCGTCGGCTGACAGTTTGCGTTGGACTCGTTGTGCGTCGAGGAGACAGTCGAGCTCCGGCGTGTTGGAATAACGCGGTGATGAGCGCTGACGTTAAGCTGAGTCACCGAGAGGCGCCTCGTGGTTCTGTGTTGGCGAGTTTAACGAGTCCTGATGCTAAAACTCTCAAATGTGAAGCAGCTTATATCCGTTCTGAACACGATGAGAGAGAACGCGGCGGCTAAAACGTGCAGATTTCTCATGTTTTCAGCAGGAAGTCTGTCGCGGATGTTTGAGGCCGGTCTGCCTCGGATCACGTCTCAGTCCGTCGCTGAGCTATTAGACATAATTACACCCATAATGCATCTGCAGCCCTGCGTGATCCAGTCACCCCCGACATCCTGATGCCCACTGGGCTCAGCTGTGTCACACTCCGGCTGGGCTGTGGGCTTAATGACCCGCCGAGGCCCACTGGTGATTTAAAATGCAGCTCTGTGCTCCTCTGGTCCGTTTTACAGGCGACTCAGAAGCATTTATTTACATGAACACTCACAGAAATTCATATTTAACCATTTTCACATCACTTCTAAAGGTTTTTATGGCTTTAAATGCTTATATAGACAAATTATTTTTGCTTTAATATAGATAGAAAGTGCAGTCTCTTTATTTTAGGGGTCATTTTTAATTTATAAACAACTCAGCAGGTAAAAATAAGACAAAACTATCATCAGACATTTTCATCTGATGACTTGAACACCTCTATTTGGAAAGAAATAATAAATCTAGGATGCGTATTTACATTAACAACAGCAGAATTATTACAAATCTTATTAATTACTACCATTAGGAACCTTTCTCATTTGGTGTAGCGATGATAAAGACATTGAAATAGGTTTTATTTCTCACTGAGACAAACTAGTCGCCTCTAGTTGTGGCGACAGAGTTCCTGTTTTTGATCAGCATCATCCTTTTTCTTACTGAAATGTTTCCGTACAGCTGATTTCTTTTTTTTTTTAACAACCAACTCACTTGTTCAGTTCTCTGTTCACATGTGGAGGCTGCACGTCAACCAGCTCCTTAAGATAAAAAGAAATGACTCGTAGAATGGAGTAAATTCTGTCAGACGGACTTCTCTTGCAGGTTTGTCGTAGAAAATAAGGAAAGCGCACTTCCTTGAATATTGTGCGCGTTGCGAGTGTCGATGCTGCAACCATATGTTGTGCAGACGTTCTGGTTTTGGCGCTAAACTATCATTCAGTGTAAACCATGTTGGGCTGCTGGACGATTTACTGCCACCGACACCACAGTGGAAGCAGCCATGTCTGATTCATTGAACAACAACCTCTATAAAACTGAAAAAGTCATTCTTATAGGCACTTGTGTTCATGCCGAGATCCTCATGAACCACTTAATGTTCTGTGGATTTAGTTTTCTTGTAGCCTGCAGCTTTAACTACATTCTAAGCAGAACAGTTGCAGCTCTTCTTCAACTCTGAGGCCTGAGCGGTGCAGCAGCAGCTAAACACAGCAGCCGACATCCTTCAGCTTATCAGTGCAGGGATAACTGCCCCGGGTGTTTGTGTTTCGGGGTGGAGCGTGTCGAGCGTGGCCTCATGTGGCATTTGTTGGTGTTGGAATAACGCTGGTTATGCTGCAGATCCTGTCGCTGGAAAGTTTATTTTTCATTCAGCAAACACCTGCTAGAGCCGCTAACGTGGGCTCGTAGAGGAAGATCCGTCTGTTCTCCTGTTACATACATGTCTGGGTTTATTATTTTGCTTCTCAACCCTCAGAATTTCTTTTTTTTTTTTTGCAGAGCCACCATTTTGTAGCGTTTAACAATCACGCTGGGAGAAGTCTGTTGTGGAGGAGACGGATCCTCCACGCACAAGTTCTCTCTCTGCAGCCACAAGACGTTCTTTGAAATGAAAATGTGATGCTGCTATTTTTGCACCGGCCCGATGTAAAGCGCCGCGTAACAGACAGAGATGCAAATGAGGCAGTTTGACGCTGACCTCCTTGTTTACGGCGGCGTCAGGTTCCTTATGTGCATGAATAATTCAGCACGTCGCCGCCGCCGCTGCTAATATTAGCAGGAAATATGTGGGAATGCGGACGCAACAGTGTGTCTGCAGATGGTTTCAGACAGGTCTTAAGAGCTGAGCCCGGCTTAATCCCCGCCTCATGGTTTGCATGTTTTTAAATGTAATCATCACCTTTACAGGAGCAGTTGGTGCCGCTCCGGTTGCCTCCAGGTCGAGCTGCTGCTCACGGAAGCAGCTGCTTTCTGTGGTTTTACTGTAAATAAATAGCCGCCGAGTGAAACACGTGTTCGCTTTGTTGCCACGATTCAGATATAACCTGTGAGCTTGTGGCCGCGTGGTGGTGAATATTCATCTGTAGATGGTCGCTGCTTTTACCTGCTGCTCACATGACTGAAGGCACAACAAGCTGCCAAGTGTGTTGAGCGGCCACGGCGGCCCCTAAGCTGCTTACTGTAGCAGCGAGCCTCTTTATCCCCCAACAAAAACAACCAGCTGACATAATGTGCAGAACACAGAAGCCACCTGTGCACATCTGATGCTTTTACAGGCTTATTATTTGGGGGTAAAGTCAGGTAATATTGTTGCACGGTGCAGAAACCGATGCCTTTTGTGCTCCACCTGCCTCAGACGCTGTCGGCCTGCCACGATAAAACAATTAGTTATCGACTATTAAATTAACATCAGCTATTCTGGATAGAGCTCCTTTATTAGCATCGCGCTGTGTACAACGAAACTGAGCAGCGATCCCGTCAGTGCACTCACAAAATCAGACATTTGTAAAGCACAGAAGGAGGAAAATCTAGCAGAAAGATTCTTTGTACGAGTGTATCTGTGAAAACAGTGACAGCTCATTCTCAGGTGTGTTAAGAACTATAACAACAGGAGAGCATTGACTTGAAGTAGCAAAGAAAAAGAGCATAAAGCAGCAGGTGTAGATGTTTCCAGATTCTGTAGAATAAATTAACAGTGAGGAGATTAAAATATATTGAGTTGCTCGTAATTTTTTCAGAAAGAAAAGTCAAAATTCTCTGATTCCGGCGTCTTAAACGTGAATATTTTCTGCTTTCTTTCCTCCTCTGTGACGGCAAACTGAATGTCTTTGGTTTGTGGGGAAAAAAATCAGGACCTTGAGAACATAGTTTTATTCTTTTGGAAACACTGATTGACATTTTCATTATTGTTTTAGTATTTTATAGAGGAAATAGCTACTAAAATAGTCCAAAAATTAGTCTGTAGTTGGAAATAAACATTGTGCCTGCCGAGTAAATATAATCATCAGCATGACATTTCATACGAAGCTTCACCTCTCGTGTTCAAGAGCTCTTCTATCCCCATATCCAGATTTTTCACGAATGATTAACCAAAAAGAAATTAGTTTTAGAGGTGAAAAAAGATTCTCTGCTGGCAGTAGCTTTAACGAGCTTCAATTCAGAGCAGCTGCATTATCGTCTTTGCTGATTTCTCATTAGTATTTTGAGGAATGAAAACACTTGTTGATGGGTTATTTATTCTATATTTGAACACACTGGGACAATAAAACCCATCACAGAGGGCTGAACAGTGTTTGTTGTGTTTATCTGGTGTTTTCACTTTACTTTAAATGCATCCGTGCTGACAGGGTTCGTTATCGTGTCGCTTAACGTGCGGTAATTGGTGAATAAACGAGGACACGAGGCAGGCAGAAGGAAAGCTGCTTCTTTTTTTTTTATAGTCATTGACATTTGAAAAAATGAGGAAACCATATTTAGCTCAGCTTTGTAACCCTGAAGAAGCACGTGACTGGTTGTTATGCAGGTGCTTTCCAAGTGCATCCACCTCATTTCTCACTGCTTTCAATCCAAAGTTTATCTCACAGCAGCCGTATAAATGCATGACATGAAGCAGAATTCATATTTCTTCTTCTTTTTTTTCTCTCTGTGTGTGTTGCAGGCCTTTTTTTTTGTTTGTTTTTTTAACCATCATAATGATGATCGAGGAGCTGCGACTCGACTACACTCCTGAACTTTGCCAGCTGTGATGGAAAAGCGCCACTGACTCGACACTTTATCCTGGATGCCGTGACGTGGTCGGTCCAAGATGGAGAAAAAGAAAACGTGCCCTCGCCTTCTCGACTACCTGGTGGTGGTCGGAGCAAGGTAAGAACCTCGTCTGACTCTGAGTTGTAGTTTTGCATACGCAGGAGTGAGCGACTGCACAAAACAGTAAACATGATGGAGTCTGTGTTTCCTGATGTGACAGAAATCTGTACATTTTTATGTTATTTTTGACTGTTTACTGAAGAAAAATGTCTAAATGTTGGAGTAAATTAACCTACAATTAAAGTACAAAAATGTGTTTTTTTTGGGCACTTTTGGTTCCTCAAATTCGCCCAATGCAGGAAAAATGCAGCTGGAGCATAAACTTGTAACGAAAAATATCTGTAGTCAAGACTTCCAAGTTTAAAAATCCAATTAAGTTTATTTATATCGCTTGTTTTAAACACACTCAGTTGTGGTTTACATGCTGTTACTCAGGCAGCGACAAAAATATGTGCAAAAAAACCTCAAATCGATTTGTTGAACAACATAAAATGGTCTAAAAAAAACAGGATTTAGAGCGAAAAAGCACCGAAAACTAGTGCTGCTGCTGCTGCAAATCCACGTCTGTCTTTTTCTATACGGGAACAATTCCTTCAGTGCAGGAACGTTTCCAGGTTCGTTTCTTTAGACTCGATGCTGAGATAAGCACCATATGATGCAGCATGCATAATGAAGCATAGAGGCACATTGTTTCAGTGGCTGCAGGCTGGAGCGAGGATTCACATGAACACAGTGAAAGTTAGAGGAGACGTGCTTCTACCGGAGCGTTTGGAGGTTGAACTTCTTCACAGATGTTTCGGTTTGTGTTTGTCTGACCAGAATTTCCAAACCTGGTGTTGAATTAAACGGCTAAATATGAACAGCTTCTGTAGCTCCTGAAATACTGCAAACACTCAACTAAGACGCCATCAGAGGCTTCGATTTTATAAAACGCCGACTCCTTTAATAACTATTTCAAATTCAGTGTTTTGTTTACACACGAGAACAAACTGTTTCGCAGATTCATCAGACGCGAGCTATAAAAGAGCCTTTTGTACCGCTTGGGCGCCTTTTGTTTCGCTCCTGTCACATTTTTCCTCACCGTGGGGTTTATTTTTCCTGCACCTCGGCGGAAACACAGCGACCTTGGACGAGGAGAGAGAACTTCTGTGCAGCAGGACACAGCTAGAATGACGGAAACCATAAAAAAGCAATAATGAAAGTCGCATTTCTTAATTTATACCAGATTGACGACACCTGAAATCATCACGCACAGCAACACGAGATAAATGGGTCGATGTTTTACACCTTGCTACGTTTTTGATGTTTCCTCTGCTCTGTGTGAACACTTCCTGCAGTTAAGCCCAAAAGTCCCTGAATTTCTGTCATGTGACCGTTGATCACATCAGAGCTGCTTGTGCAAAGGAGTGCAGAATTTAACGTTTTTTACAGAACCTGGTTCGTGCAAATGGTTTATTTTCTGGAGAATTTTAAAATTTTACTTCTTATTTTGTACAGTCCACTGCCTTTATTTGTTTTTATTTTAATTTGGTTTCTATTCTGTTTTGTATTTAGATTTATATTGTTTGGCAAAGAAGTAATTTTATTGCACAGAAAAACATGTGTCTATCGTGTACATATGACAAGAAACATTTTGAAATTAAAATTGAAATGAGACCTGCAGAATGATTATAAACTTAGATTTGGTTAATTTTCCAGAACCAGAAGTCACATGATTAGTTCATAGACCGTCGGAAAGTTAAAAACAGTAAAAAAGATGTACAGCACCTTTTTAAAAAATGAGGTTTAAGGGGGGCTTTGATGAACCAGTTCAAAAAACTGAATATTATAAAATTACAACAGAAAGCCAGTCAGGACAAACTGAAAGAAAAAACACACTACAGGTGGAAAAAGTAGAGAAATAAAGTTAACCACAGTAAAAGAGATGTAAAGTACAACATTTCTAAATAAATACATGAACAGAAGAAGCACCAAATAAAGCAATAAAATACTAAAAAAAAAAACAAATGCCACAAATCATTACAGGAAAGAAAGAGACAAGGATGAGCAGCATGAGAGCAACAAAAAATAGAATAGAAATACTTTAATAATCCTCAATAAATAAATAGAAATATCTGATGTGTAAGTCAAAAATAAGAAAAATACACTAAAGTACAAAATGCACAATAATGTACAAAAAAATAGAGAATAAAACTTTAAAAACAGGGTACAATAGGAGAAGGAGAATGAAATTAACCCAACATCTGCCTGTTCTTTCTGTTTTTAGAGCTTGTCGTTCTGATAAATAGTGTGATTTTGGTTTTAAATGGTTAATAAACGACTTGTGATGCGTCTTAATAACCGGTACACGTCTGTCCGTCTCCCCTGCAGGCAGCCCAGCAGTGACAGCGTGGCTCAGACCCCTCAGCTGCTTCGCCGCTACCCGCTGGAGGACCACCACGACTTCCCGCTGCCTCCTGACGTGGTCTTCTTCTGCCAACCGGAGGGCTGCCTGAGCATCCGCCAGCGCCGGGTCAGCCTCCGCGACGACTCCTCCTTCGTGTTCACGCTCACCGACAAGGACTCAGGAATCACCCGCTACGGGATCTGCGTCAACTTCTACCGCTCCTTCCAGAGAGGACACCACCGCAGCCGAGGGGACAAGAGCAGCCACGCCGAGTCAGCGCCGCCGCCGGTGGAGACGGCGACCGAAGCCTCAGAAGACAGCGGCGTCGCTCCGGCCTCGACGTTGGCTCCACCCAACGAGTCGGCTCCTCCGCCCGCCTCCGGGGAAGACGGCGACAAACCGGGCGTCGAGCAAAATGCCGGCAAATCCCCTCAGCACAGACGGAGCGCCGCGAAGACGGCGGCCAGGAACCGCAACAGCACCCTGACGTCGCTGTGCATCCTCAGCCACTACCCCTTCTTCTCCACCTTCAGGGAATGCTTGTATATTCTCAAGAGGCTGGTGGACTGCTGCAGTCAGAGGCTGACCCAGCGGGCCGGACTCCCTCGAGCCACCCAGAGGTAGGACGCTCTTCTAAACAAGCCGTTGTTGTCGAGGAGAGCGGGGCGCCGCTGAACACTTTAAGGTTCTGACTAAAAATTAATCATGTTTCTGTGCTCGCAACCGACACATCTCTGTTAGACATTAACACCCGACTGGTTCGTGTCCACAGGAGCGTTTTTATACAAAAGCTTCACGCTGCTTCCCAACATAGCGGCCGCTAGGTGGTATCTACGTAGAACTGACGATTACCTTCACCAGAAACCAGTCGTGTACAAGCGCTGGACCAACTCATTCACAAACTGTCTATTTATTACTAAAAACAGTTCAGTGAAAATGTTTTTCTGAAAACGTCTGAGGCAAGAAAGAAGCTGTGCTCAATCTGTCCTTGTTTTAGTTTCTAGCTTGGAGGTTTTATGAAGGTTTCTTGAGGCGTCCGACCAGTTATTTGCATGAAGCACCCGAGATGTCACCTTTTATGGACACGTATCCTAAGTTGATGTTTTTGGCAGCAGTGAAATGCTGCAACTTAATTTGATTCTAACATACACTCAGTTGTTTAGAAAACTTGCCAGAAAAGTCAGTTTCTATGCCATTAATCCAGCATGTTTCCACCTCCTCTAGGACTCTAGTTAGACAGTGTTAGTGGCTCTGTGTACGACCGATCCGTCCCTCATCACCATTGTTTTGAATATTGTAAAAACGTTCTTCCTTATCTCCACGTCCTGCCAGGCCTGTGAGCCGGTTCCTCTGTTAACCTGCTGTGGACGTCCAGTCCTGCTGCTTGCTTTAATCATGAGATCCCTGGTTCTCTGTAGCGTTGTACTCTAATGTAAGACAAGCAGGGGAACCTTGTTGTTGTTGTTGTTGTTGTTGTTGTTGTGTCAGCCCGCCGTGGCATTGACTCGTACCATTAATGTTCCGCCTGCCAGTAAACTGTCAGGTTTCAAACTTTGAGGTGTTCAGAGACTCCAAAGCAATATCCAGTCAGAGAAAGCCATTTGTGGTTTGCTTTTTGGTGTTTGGCCTTGTTTTTATTGGTTTGTTGTTAAAAATGTTGGGTTTTTTGTGGGTTTTCTTCTCAATAGAAGTGACTGAAACTTGCTTACTTGATTAGTATGTTGGATTACTGAGAAAAACAGGAAACAGGAAGTTTATTTGATGCAGCAGTTTAACCTAATTTTACTCGAGTTAACAGCCAAATCCCACAGAGGGTTCACGGATGCTCACAACTGCTGACTGTGTTGCCTTAACGCAGTGAAATAAGTAAATCACACAAAGTAACGCCATCAATTTCCAAAGGTTACATCAGAACAAATTAGGAAAAGAAACCCGCCAGAATTCAATCCTGTCAGTATCTGCTTTGGGCTTTTCCCTGTAATCCAACATACGACTGAAAAAAGGAGCTTTTAATCAGTTCTGTTCAGTCGGAAAGAAAAAAGAAAGAGAACCCTCAGAAAGTTAAAAGGACAAACTGGCTTTTTTAACGTAATGGATAACGCTGTGTTGTTGAGGAGTCTAGAAATGGCCATGCAACGCCATGATGCATTGGAGCTGGACGTGTGAGAGCAGGTAAACAGAGCCTACAAGGACTGGCAGGGCTGAGATAAGTAAACAAAACAGAGAACATAAATATATTACAAGAGGTACAACAGTGCAGTTTGACCAATAATACAAGATCGACACGTGGACGGTTAATCAGATGGTAAAAGACTGCTTTTGTATCTGCACACTTGAGCAGAAATTCACTTACACGCCATTAAAAATGAGCAGGAAACCTCGTGTCTACGTGCCCTGAACACACCCTGTCGTAACCTGTTTAACTCCATAAACGTTTCCGGTTAGATTTAACGTGACCCGAACACCTCCGGTTGTTGTGCCCTTTGTTTTCGTCTGCAGGGTTCACGGTGGTAGACAATGAAACACACCTTTTTATGGCGCAGAGCTTTCAGTCGCCCGACTCCCAGACACATGGACAGTTTGGTTTGAAGGTGGGGCTTTTAAAGCAAACTTGGCACACGAGAAAAACCTCACGGCTGGTTTCACATTAATGCATTTATTATGTCTGACGGGAAAACCAAATGTCGGCTTCATCATCAGGAATTGGGGAATCTCTTTACATTTTCAGACATGAAAGCTTTGATTTTGTTGAACTTACAGCATTTACTCTGACACTTTATCAGTTCATTCCTTTAGTAACTTTATATTATGGACTTAACTTTACAGCTTCTAGAGTCCTATTTTCGCTTCAGTTTTGAATTTTAAAAGGCTAGCATAGTTGACTTTTGTTTTCTGCAGTGCCTACTGCTTTATCTCTTCCCCCCATCTGCTTCCTTCATTGTCCGCCTGCTATCTGTACGTTTGTGCGGCAGAATTAATACAGGAGCTTTTTGTCTGCGGCTTCGTGCAGGTTTTTATTCAGGCCATCTGCAGCCCTGTGTGTCCTGTTTTCACAGCACGCTGCATGCTATTATCACGCCCCACCTTGGTGATACATAACGGCGACCGAAATGTCCACTGCACAGTTCGTCGGTTTGTTTTTGAATGATTTGTCGTGCAGCAAATATTATTTCATTATTTCTTACAGGCTCAGCTGATGTAAAGGGATCCAGAAATAGTATCTGTGCACCTGTTCTATAAAAAGGTGGACAATAACCCAGAAAAAGTGTAGGGAGCTAAATAGTATACCCACATGACTTACATACACAGTGCCTATAAATACAGATGATAGAGAATGTTAGAAGAATGAGATGTGTTCCCCTTTTATTGCTTTTTGACGCTGAACTGTGGTCAGTTTAATTTGACTTTTTTTGATAAGAATATGCAAAAGAGGACTCTTTCATGTCAAAGTGAAAACTGATTTCAACAAAGTGATGTCAAATAATTAAAAGAATGAAATATAATGTAAGCGATTGTGTTAAGGTTCTTTGGTATGATTAGAATTAAATGGAGCTTTTTGTCCATCAGACTAGATGATATATTTGGCGGAAACCAAACTCTGCACATCATCACAAACGCACCATCCCCACTTTGAAGCATGGTGGTGGCAGCATCATGATGAAGCACGGTGGTGGCAGCGTCATGATGAAGCACGGTGGTGGCAGCATCGTGACGTGAAGCACGGTGGTGGCAGCATCATGATGAAGCACGGTGGTGGCAGCGTCATGATATGAAACACGGTGGTGGCAGCATCGTGATGAAGCACGGTGGTGGCAGCATCATGAGGTGGAGGGTAAAATGAATGCAGCAAAGAGACATAGAGAAATCCTGGAGGACAACCAAAGCATCATTTACTAAATACTGACGTAAATTGGTGACTGCTGACGCAATCACTTACTTTACATTTATAAATTTCTTATTAATTGGCATCACTTTGTAGAAATCTATTTTCACTTTGACATGAAAGAATCTTTCTTTTGGTAAATTACTGTTAAAATAACCCATTTAAATTGACCACGATTCACCGTAGAGAAGAAATTAAACTGGAAAACACAGCAGATTTTTCCTAAACAGCTACGAGGGATAATTGATTCTGATTTTATTTAAGCTGCTGAAAAATACTCACAGCTGTTTTTGTTGTGACGCTGCGTCGTCAGGTGACCGTATGTGCCGTGCTCATTGGTTTATTCTGTTGCCATGGGCGACACAATAGATTACGATCTTGGGGTGACAGAGTGTTAATTAGGCTGTCATTTCATGCTGGCTCGGGCCTCAAACGATTGTTATTTATATACAGCTGAGTGTAGCTCATCACCGTAAGAGGGTCTAGGAGTGTCTTGTTAATCTTGCTGGGTTTTTTTTTAATGTTTTATTTGCTCTGGTGTAAAATGCAGCAGCGTCTTTCTTTGACAACCTCGAAAAGGCCGCTGAAGCCAGAGGCTGAACGGACCATGGCATCGTTTTTTTTTCTCTTTTCTCCTTGACATGGTTGGTTGAAATGCGATGTTGCAATGACAGAGAAGAAGGAGAGCCATTGCATAATGCCTGCGAGCGCTTTGTGCGATGGCGGCGCTGACAGATTGAGGTCTCTGACTGCCTTTGGGTAGCAGCTGCAGTTGGTGGGAGGGCTTCGAAGGACTAATGATTTACCTCCCTCCTCTCCACACACTGCACTAAGCACACACTTCAGAGAGGCTAATGGCACCGTGTGTGCGTGGAAACTGGAGGGTTTTCGCATCAATATTTCGACAATTGCTTGAGAGCCTCTCCTGTGCTTCGATCTCATTTGCTCATCATATTAGTGACTTCGCCGAGTGTTTGTTCAGGCCTCTTGAAAGCTGTTTGCAGCAATAAAACAACCAGTGATTCACTTTAATCTAGTTTAAACTTAGAATTACTGTCGACTGACGTGAGTATATTTATTAGTGAAAGCTTAGCATATTTTTATATCCCTGCAAAATGAATTAGGTTTTCAAAAGACACCAGTGCTACTGCCTGCTGCTGTATATAATGTTTTCCTTTTTTTTCCATCTTTATACTGGAAGACTCCATTATTTCCGCCAAGATGCTGCATTAAAGAGCACCTGTGTTGATATTTATATCATATATAGGCCTCTGTTGTGGGGTTTTATGGTTTTGTTTTCTAGGAAGTTGGATATTTGAGCAGTCGGGCTGAACAATAAATAAATGTTAAAGTCACAGCTGCAAAATTGCAATTTAAAAACAACACATTTAGCACATTTAGGATGTACATGATGCAGCGTATCAGTCAAAAGTGTAATTTTAGTGGTTTTCCAAATCCACGCCGTCCCTCTTGTGTGAGTCACGTGTTTCATGGTGTCTCATGTGACAGCGTCCCATCACATGTTTTAGATCTATTACACAGTTAACATTTAATTTAAATTCACTGACTGTTTTCCTGCTGGGCAGTATAATAAAAGCGGGGACGACAATACAGTGTCTTCATATTGGTTGAAGATATCATGTAGCGTCACATGACTTGTAAACAAGACGTGAAAGCATTTGGCACGAGTTTTGTAAAAAACAACAAACAAAAAAATGTTTTGTGTTGAATTTAAAATTATTTATTAAAACCCTGTTGCCTGAACACAACATTTTATTAATGCAGATATGAACTAATGCAGATTTTAGCTTGTCAGATTTTGCTTTTCTTTGTTTCTTATTATAAAAATATTTAATTTATTCTGTATATTTTGGCATTATCCTATAGGTTGTGCACTAGTAATTATAACACATCAAACTGGAGTAATGGAACTTTTTATGTCGATCATTAAGTTAGTAATTAGTCTTTAATGAAAATAATAAATTGCAGCTTTGACTTTAATAAGAAAAGCGACTATTCTGACTTCCTGTTTCTGTCTTTCCCAGGGACACCATGTGGCGGGTGTTCACCGGGGCCACGTCGGTGGAGGAGAAAGGCAGCCAGCTGCTGGCCGACCTGCGGGAGATTGAATCCTGGGTTTACCGGCTGCTCCGGTCTCCGGTACCACTGGCGGGTCAGAGGCGGGTCGATGTTGAGGTTCTGCCCCACGAACTCAAACGTGCGCTGACCTTCGCCCTGCCTGACAACTCCCGCTTCGTCATGGTCGACTTCCCCCTGCACCTGCCCTTAGAGCTGCTGGGCGTGGACGCCTGTCTGCAGGTCCTCAGCTGCGTCCTGCTGGAGCACAAGGTGAGGACGGGTCATGCAGTGAGCTCAGGACGGACGCTGTTTGTATTTTGTATATTTAAGACCAGGAGGAGACGCGTGGTTGTCCTCAGCTGCAACCGAATCACCTTTGGGTTTTTATTAACCATCTGAACCTCCAAAACCTGCCATCGAGTTGGAAAATACGCACTCATTTTGTTTATCGCACACAAAAACTGCTCCGTATTTTAAAGTGATGGTGTCGTCATAGTTTTTTACTTTCAACATATTCATTCAAGCGTTGACTGGAAACTAGTTTAACCATCTGAACCCCAGAAGCATGTTGTCTTTTAAACAAACACTATTTATCAGAGCCAGAAACGCTAAAATCAGGAGAGAATTTGCAGCTTTTTAACATCCTGATATCCTTGAAGTATTCACTTTTAGTTTGCTGTTCTGTCGGGAAGCGTACCCAAATCTAATGCTTGGAATCATATTTTATCTCAGTCACTTTTTTCGACCTGTCTAGTTTTAAAAAATGACAGAAATACACCAGATTGTATTAAAAAACAAAAAATTCTGCGCTCCTCGCTATTAGTGATTCTACTGCGACAACAGTCACAAGACCAAAAACATCAGCGACTATTTGGCTAAACTGTCGGTCTGTCAAGATCTATCAAGAACTGTTTTTTTTGAACTAATAATATGTGATGCGCTGTTCTGTCAGGAAAATCTAATCAAATCTGAGCATACAATTGTGATATTTTGCAAAAATCCCTTTATTCTACATGTCTCAGTTAAATAATTACGAAAACATGAACTGTTTTCCCCAACCGGTTTCTGTTAAAACACAAGAATTCTGCACTCTTTAGTGCAACCGTGAAATCAGCAGTGTCTCAGCTGCAGCAAACGGTCACGTGGCAAAAAATGTAGGATGTATTTTTAATATTATTCTAATCATGGCTGTGCTGCTTCGAAAGAGGTGAAGGTCTTTATGTGGCGGTGAAAAAATGAGCCCACGATGACTGAAAACAGCAAAAAAGGAACTGCTCGGGCTTCAGAGGGTTAAAAACCAAACTGATTGTCTGATTGTTAGAATGGAAAAGGGAATAAAAAGCACATCTGTATAAACTGTGCTGTGATTGGTCGGTGGCTTCCTGTCGCGCAGCTTGAATTTTTCTTTCAAAGACCTCCTGAGAAACGTCCCGACTGACCTCAACCAGACATTTTCTGCCCTTGATGACGAAGCCATTTTGCCGCGGCGTGGACGGAGCGCGATGGGCGGAGAGGAGATGGTGAATAGTTTATGACGGAGAGCAGAGACTCTTCTGTTTCCTCTCGGAAGCAGGAGGAGCGTAATAGGGATCCTGGTTTGGCTGCTGCCGGTGTTGTGTTTCTCTCAGCGTACGGTGACACCGATACAGAGGCTCATTTGCAATAATCTCAAATCAAACCTACGCTTCTCAGTTTCCCTCACAACGCTCAAAAAGACCTCGGTGTTGGCTAAACACTGGACAAATTCTCTGCCTCCTGCCGCTGTGCGTTTATCAAACATGTTGTTTTTTTGTCGAGGATATATAAACATATTTATCTTAAAATGCATCTCGATTGAAACCCTCCCTGCAGTCATTAGTTGAGCTTCAGAGCTGTTTCTCCTCCAAATAAATCCTCAACCTGTGTGAGATATTCACCGTTTTGCATTCATCCATTTTGTGTTTTTTTTATTTTTTTATTTTTGAAGATGAATTCAATACATCATTAAACCCAGTCAGGCTGAACTAAGTGCTGTCTGAAAGCTTTCAGTGCAGCTTCCCCCTTTTCAAGCACTTTGTGCCGCCGAATTAATTTTTCATGAAAGCTCGGTTTTTAATATTGCTGTTACAAATCCACGACAGAACGAGGGTCTTTGAATTACGACCGACAAAAGGAAATGTGGACAGACCATCAAGCGGTTGTGTGATGGAGCACCCGCGCTGAGTCTGTGTTTAAATGAGACGCTATGAAGATAAATTTCCTCCTAAAACCCATTTATGTTGAATTTTCTTACTGTGTTTGTCGTTCCTTCTTTCTCAGGTCATCCTTCAGTCCAGAGATTATAACGCTTTGTCTATGAGCGTCATGGCCTTTGTGGCGATGATCTACCCGCTGGAGTACATGTTCCCCGTCATCCCCCTGCTGCCCACATGCATGGCCTCTGCTGAACAGGTAAACCTTAGTCTTTCTTTGTGTGTTTTTAGATTTTTCTTACCAGACTTGCAGTCTTGTTTTTATCTCTCTGACCCCCAAAACCCACCAATGGGTTTGAAATTCATGCTTTTTTTTTTTTTTTTTTAATTGCATCATTTATCAGCGAGAACTGTAAATACAGAGTGAATTGATGGAGTTTTACCTTTCCAACAGTCCCAATCTAAGCTTACGATTGTGATATTTCATCAAAATCACTTTATTCTACATGTCTGATTTGAAAAAGAAATTACCAAAAACAAACCGTTTGCAGTGTAAAAATCTAAAAATTCTGTGCTCCTCAGTGTAAACAAGAAGCTAACGACTAGCAACTTGCTAATGACTGAGTCAGCTGTGACCAGCAGTCACGTGACAAAGATTCAGGGGGTTTTCGGCTGAACTGCAGGCAGTGTTTACACAGAGCAGATATAGTATGGACACAAATTAAAATGCAAATAGTAAAATATTTATAGTATGTACAGCCACCATGTTTTCCTAGTATTTGTAAAACATGTGGACACTTGTTGGACATGCTAATTCCATTTTTTCCCTTTTCATGTAGAATGAATAATCATGAAATTAAACTTTGATTTATGTCAGTTTAACTGTCATTCTGCACAGAAGATCTTTCTGAGTTCTCTGTACTTCTTCATGTTGTTCTGTTTACGTAGAGCAGCAGGATTTTAGTGAAAAATGAGCCCACAGTGAGTAAAAACGTGACAGGAGCAAAAGAAATAAGCACAACATGACATGTTTTGTTTTTTTTAAACCTAAAGCAAATCTATAATTTCTCCCAGTACTGTATCTGTAGGATTTTCTGAGCCTCAAACTACTGCACATAATAGAATAATCCAGTTTGCAGCAGGTATAAAGTGATGCGTCCCTTTGGGAAAAATAAATCCACATTATTTGTAATGGATCCTTCGTATAATCTGAAACTAAGACTCTTTCTGTGTCATCCTGCACATTTCTGACTTGTCTCTCCGTCTTCGTGGTTGTTCTGTTTGCACAGAGCTGCAGGACTTTATATTGCAGTAAAAAAACAAAAAAAATCCACAGTGAAGAAAACATGAGAAACACAAACCCCCATCCAGAACCTGCTCGGCGTCCAGAGGGTTAATTGCGTTCGCTGTCTGTTGTTGCAGCATAAAAATAGTAACTAATTGCTGTGTGTTTTCTTCCCCTCAGCTCCTCCTCGCTCCCACTCCCTACATTATTGGCGTACCAGCGAGCTTCTTCCTCTACAAATCCGATTTCAAAATGCCAGACGATGTTTGGCTTGTTGACCTTGACAGCAGCAAGGTTTGTGCACCGACCGACGTGATGCTCTTCACCTCCCTCTGATCGTGTTTTGTCTTCCCGATGTCCAGATTAAAGCTGCTACTGGGGGGGGAGCATCTGACCTTAAATGTTTGGTGTTTATTTTTCTATGCTAAAATAAAACTAGAGGACCGTTTCTGCCTGCAGGTCATAGCACCTACCAATGCAGAGATCCTGCCACCTCTTCCTGAGCCGGAAGCAGGCGAGCTGAAGAAGCATCTCAAACAGGTAAAGCACACCAACTGTGTGATTCCTCTTAGATTTGATGAAGTTTCCTGATTCTGCTGCACTGCGGCAACTTCCGCTCAGCCCAGAACCAGTGGGACCACTGACACACATGAGCATTTAGCAGAGAAATGTGTGGATCTCTGGCGCTGCTCTGGAGCTCTGATGTGTTTCCTGCTAGTCGAGCTCACTCTTGTGTAAATGTAAAACTTCTCTTTCAGCGGTGTGAAGAGTAGGGGCTTCCTCCTTCAGCACAGTTGTATGTATTGTAGACGAGTGTGAGAGCATTTGAAACTGGTTTTGTAGTGCACTAACACAAACAAATGTCTTTTCTGTTCTGTTTTTTCCCCGTTTTCTTTGCATGCTCTAGCTGTTGGAGGTAAAATCAGATGCTAGGACCCTGCTACCCAACCTTTAGCGTTACTGGTAGCAACTAACCTGCCCCTCTGACCTGATTATCTAACATAAGAGCCTGGTTCTGATTCATGGAAACACCTCACTCTTTCTGTTCCACACTGCGAGCGACACCAGTAGCCTACTAAATAGCATCCTTAGCACTTACTCTAGCTACCAGTATGTGATCTCAGTGAGCTTTTAGACCAAAGAACTCTCGCTGTAGCTAAACGTGTAGCTTCCTTTAGCTGCTGATAGTCAGATTGCTGTGTAGTTTTTGTTTTCCACCAGTAGTTAGTGAGTCAATTGAACGCTTCAAACGTCACTTTTGGGTCAAAGCCTGTGTCAGTTCAGACAGAAGTGAGGAAACGTGTTGCTCCACCATTTCAGATTTTGTGAAGACTTCACTTTTTGAAGTTCTACGAGAAAATGTAGCTGAATTCTGAGCATTTCATGACGTTTCAGACCTAGACTTTTTTGCATTTTCAGTGTAACAAGCCAAGGTTAAGTTTGTTTTTTTGCTGTGGGAACATTTGGTCGAGCAAAAATAAGCCTCTTCTGCGACTCTGCACATGTGATATCAACATATAGAACCCTTTAAACACCAGTTTCTACATCAGTATTCTGCCAAAATATCAAAAAACTGGAGCCTTGTCTTGTCATACTGGACACGCATCAGGTTCTACTGATGTTAGAGCCTCTAAAGTTGGTGAAATGTCGAACAAAGACTGTATTTTTAGTAGGAAACATGGATCCGTCTACATGTATACACTGACAGGAACTGTCTGGGGCCACACAAGCACCTTGGTTTGAAAATTCTTCACGTTTTCCCCATTTTCAAGCACCAATAATTAAACATTCCGGCTCCGTCATTAAATCATTTGGACAGAAACTAGTCGGTCTGTGTCTTCTACAAAATTCACGGCTGTGGAAGTTTTATTTTTGGAGTTATTGGACCCTTCAAATGACTTCACAGATGAGACATTTTTCGAGAGTAAAAATGCAAAAAGATTTCCAAGGTCTGAAAACGTGTGAATATTTTACAGAACTTAGTAAGAAACGATTAAGTTCTGAACAAAATCTAAGGCGGTGGCGCAACACCGCTGTTTGAAATGACACCGACTGACCCGTTTTGAAACTTAAAAAACACAAGAAAAGGCAAACAAACAACAGTAATGAAATCCTTGTGAAGATTTTCCACGTTATTTTTAAGGTAGACTGCGCTACGTTTACATATTAATCCATTACATTCAAGCCAATTATAGATCTCTGTAGTTTGCAGTGTTACTCTAGTTTTAAATATAAATTCTGTGGCGGTATTCCCACTCAGCCTTTAGAGTAAGAGCTGAGGCATGTTTCATACTGCCAGTCAGTCCTTATATTAAAGAAGTTTTTTTTTTGAATAAAACCAACACTCCCTGTTGTTTTCCGCCCAAGCCTCACTTTATGTTCTTCGCACTAATTTCCATTTTTAAGTTGAAATCCTCGCTTGCACCCGTTTGTTTCGCTCATGGCGCCTTGAATCAGAGCCAGTCGGTGTGCGGTTCGCTGCTCTCCCCTGTGTGCGGGCGTGTGGTCGAGAGGCTGGTGTGTAGGAGTGTGCGAAGCCTCAGTTTAGCAGATGTATATTTGGAAACAAGCTCACAACGCCCATATCTGTGAATGGAGAAAATGTCTGCCGAAGATGGTTTTAACCGATTGTCTGAAGACCGCGATGCCGCAGCGCAACGCTGCTGCTGATGTGAGAGTCTCTGAAAATACTTGCACTTTACTCTCTATTACAATAAATCAGTCCAAACAAGCGACTGATTTATTTACAAGGTTGGTTGTAATATTTCAGCTCTTTTTTTTATTTTTATTTTTTAAATAATTAGGAGTTAATGAAGGCTTTTTGTGTTGGTTATTGTGCAAGTATCTTCACTGTTTCTGAAAAGATCTGCTGTTTTGTATCTGCCATCACCACTCCATGGCGACCGCTGGCCTGTCCCAGTCGCTCACCATGGATGGCCTTCATGTGTCTGTGAGTGGCTGGGTTCTGTAGGTGACGTTTGGGTTTTTTGGTCACGTTATTGCTTTGTCTGTGTTTCTCACTGTCTTTCATGTGAAGCATAAAAAACATCTCCCTTCTCCTCATCATCTTCTTCTTCTTCCTCTCTCCTCTTTCTGTCCTTCCTGGCTGTCCATCACCTTCTCAAAACAAACACAAGTTAATATTTTCTTATCTCCTCTCTGCGGCAAATTGTGGAATTGGAAACAAAAAAAAAAAAGCCACTGCACGAACAAATCAAAGGGAACTTGTTTTTTTTATTTCGTCATCTTAGATCTATTTGACTCACATTCGCGTGGCACCAAAATATACTCATTTGCTGTCAGCAGAAAAGCAGACAAACGGGGAAGTGCTGCCGAAAGGAGACAAAGAAAAGGAAAGGAAAGGGTTGCGATCCTTTCGTCATGTGCTGTTCCGGTGTCAGTCACGAAGTTGTCGTCATCTCAGGCCTTCATGTGATTCTCCTCGCATCTCTCTTATCCCCTTCCTAGTGTCTGGTTAGGTTGACCGTGATCACCCAAAAGCAGATCTTCTCCTCTGAAAATAAGGTTACTCATTTCTCCTCCTGTGGAATGTGTAATGCCCCTGCACGGATATATCTATATATCTCTTCTCTCTCACATTGTTTTTGCTTGTCACTACTACTTGTCTCCTATTCTCCAGATTTGACTTTTTTAAAATAAATGCATAACAGTGTCGCAGAATGTTGCGGAGCAGTTTTTTGATACACTGCTTAGCTCTGGCTTGAGCATGACTGAATGTGCGTGCATCTATCTTGGCATCAGTGAGTGTCCTCGTAACCAAAAAAACAAGATACGATACGAAGCTTATCACTCTTGACGAAGTTAACACTCATCCTGACCCAGCAACTAAATGTTCCATTATGCTAAGCTAAACATTGACACTTGAGTCTGCAGCAGTTCCCTCAAAGCAAACCATGCATAGTGACTTACTTCCCTTGTGCTCCTCCTCTCCAAAACGACACCCCCACTGCAGGCATCAACATGTGCAAAACTGACCATTTAGCTGCTGTTTATCGTATAAAAGTGATCAAAAAATGGGGAAAACTGCACAAACGGGGATATAAGTTATGATCTCACTTTAGCACACTGCTGGGGAGCGGAGATGCTTGCTAGTAAAAGTGAGATCATACCATAAAATCACCCGTTAAACCAGATTTTCCATGTCTCTGGCCTAATTGTTTTCCTCTTTAGAGAGTCCAAACAAGCATTTAATGGCCCGTCAAGTGTGGAAATTGATAAATGTTGATGCCAAACGTGGGAGTGGTCCATCACAGCGCTGTGTTGTTTTTTTGTCTTCCCATCCACTGCCATGTTTTTGATTTGTGTCGCCTTCGCCCGCTCCAGGCCTTGGCCAGCATGAGCCTGAACACCCAACCCATTCTGAACCTGGAGAAGTTCCAGGAAGGTCAGGAGATGCCGCTGCTCCCGCCCGGACGAGACAAAGCCTCGCCGTCCTCCACCGAGTTCAACCCCCTGATTTACGGCAACGACGTCGACTCCGTGGATGTGGCCACCAGGCAAGCTTTGCATTTCTGTTTCCTTGGGTTGTCTCGGGCCAATAAAGGCCGATGTCAGCATGAGCTTAGGCTCGATGTTTAGCTTACATCCACTGTTGTAATGACAGAGCAGCATTTGTCTGTCACAGAACTCTTTGTCATAGTGGCCCGTTGCTGGCTTGGTATGAGGCAAAAACTCTCCCACAAAGCGTCAGGTCAAGTCAGTTTTATTTGTGTAGACCTTACAAATTTAGACAAATAACCCAACAATCCAGAGTTGACTTTGGACTCCTTCTGAGCAAGTGGTTGGAAGGTGGGAAGGATTATTTTCTTAACTTCAATGTACTTCAAGTGTGTATCGTTCCAAAAGATGATATCTGATTAGGACTTGGTATCAGCACCCAAACTTGGACTCTCAGGTTTTATCCCTTTCTGTCCAAGTTCTATCGAGTTAAACTTTGTCATAAATAAAACTTCTTTGTGTTGCAGGGTCGCCATGGTACGGTTCTTCAACTCTCCAAACGTTCTCCAGGGTTTCCAGATGCACACTCGCACGTTGCGTCTCTTCCCGCGGCCCGTCGTCGCCTTTCAGTCCACGTCTTTTCTGGCGTCTCGGCCGCGACGCTCCAGCTTCGCAGATAAACTGTCTCACACTCAGGCAGTGGAGTTCTACGGGGAGTGGGCTCTGAATCCCACCAACCTCGCCTTCCAGAGGATACATAACAGTAAGGCTCATTCAAGGTCGTAGCAGCCCGTTTTATTGAATACGGAAGTTGCGTTAAATTAAATTGCCCATCGTTCTTTGCTTTAGACGTGTTTGACCCCTCCTTAATCGGAGACAAGCCCAAGTGGTATGCACACCAGTTACAGCCAGTGGTCTACAGAGTCTATGATGGAAGCTCCCAGCTGGTTGAAGCTATGGCGGGACCTTTGGAGGATGAAGGCAACGAGTCCGACCCCACGGACAGGTAAGAAAACAGAAGACCCTTCTAGTTCAGCCTGGGTCACTCCATGGAAAATCAGTTCCACCTTTTTAATCTGCAATAACTTTAGTATACTTAATGAAGCTATGTAAAGTTAAACCTTCATGCTATGAATATTTTCTGAGTTACAGGCCCTTCAATTTGCTTTTTTTTCCTCGTATTTTTGAGCCCTCATAACTTCATAAGCGCAGAAGATAGACACGTGAAACTTTCTGAGCTGAAAAACAAACTTGAGCTCTGTTAAAAACAGACACCCAAATCAATTTTACATTCACTCCATGTCACAGTGAACCCTAAGTATCACATGTAGGTAAAATGGTCCTTCCATTGTCTAGAACTGGTTCTGACCAACCACCATCACACATGCTGATATGAGCCTTAAAGTTTACCCAGAATGCACTTTGTAAAGTTTTCTTTGGTGAATGATCAGAAACCAGAACCACATCCAGGATACCAATGATTGTTTCTATGACTCTATGCCATAGACATTAAACTGTTCACACTATGAGACATCCCATAATACTGATGCTATCGGCTGGATATAGAGAAAAATGAACAAAAAACAGATTCAGTCTGTAGATTCTGACACCTGGATGGTTGCAGTTTTTAGCAGAATTCAAGTTTTATTTTTCAGCCCTGAAACTTTCACTTCAAACATTGAGCACTAATTACTAGATGACACAAATTAAAAACCATGAACCCTTGCTGATTTTGCTGTTTTAGTCCAGTTTGGGCCACAAAGA